CTAAAGCAACATTTGATTATATTCAAACACAGAATACCGTCTTGATATTTCAAAACAAACAAAAAGAAATTATGCTATATTAATACTAGCCTGACTTTAAGGAAGTGTGATCTTTTTGACCAGTAAATGCAGGAAGCATACAGTTTCATAAAAAGTTAACAAAAAGTAAGCCTTTACTTAGTTTGATTACAACTTAATAATATCGGGTCACCCTAGTATAATAATTGGAATGTAAGATCTATCCATCTACGTCGTAAAGCAATAGAAGTAAAATCTAAAAGAGAAATGAAAATCACTTAAGTTCCAGATTTAAAATTTGTCCCACTAATAATTTATTCAATTGCCAACTTTATAAAAAAATAAACATGAATGCGAAAGTATTAGTAGAAATAAAAAAGCATTTAAAAATTGGTAAGGAAAGTTTTTTAAACTTTTTCGAATTTTTTTATCATCAAGACCGACTAACCACTTGTAAATCAATCTTGACATCCATCTCACTATCTTTTTCATTGACTATTAACCTATTGTATTTTATAAAAAGTAATGTTCATTAAATGATGAATGGAATAAGCCTTACATATGTAACTTAAACTCTTTTCTAGTACACTTTAATCAGCTGTATAGTCTGAGCTTTAAATTTAATCCAAGATAATCTCTGCTTGAATGAAGCATTTATAAAGTACTCGCAGTGCTCATATCGAATATATGCCAAACAAACCCATTCATTATCGACCATCCTGCAGCATCTTCCGTGCACTGTAATTGAATTTTCTTCCGGATTAACGAACGAAAAAGACATACAATAACCGGAACACATATTCACATTTACCGCAACTAGATCACATCCCGGTTCGTCGATGACATATTGCGTACCTGAAAGCATTAAGAAATGAAATCAAAATTTGATATTAGCTCCAAAAGGGAAAAAGTAAACAGGGTAGAGGAAGCAAGCAAAACGGTTATTCAAAAGATTATTGACAAAAGCGAACCTCAAATCTTTCGAAATAAAAAAAACTGAATTTCTGGGCCACTTCATTGTTAGCATCTTTATTGATGGGTTTTATAGGTACGGTAATTTTTTAAGCTCTTTTTTTTTTAGTGAAATTTAAGCAAACCGTGTTTTCGGCATCCTGATTTAATAACAGCAGAATATGCGGAAAATGTTGTGAACGTCAATAGCAACACTATAAGCAGATGTCGCTTCAGTATAAATGAAAATGAGATTGAAGAAATTAAGTGGTGTGTATCCGTTCGTATGGGTATTGCCGGCACCGGGATCGAACCTAAGGTTGAAGCCAGTTCCGTTTTCTGCATTAATCATATGGTGAAGCTGCAATTATATCATTTGGGGAGTCTCGCGGCCGATATTACTAGCTAAATCCTTTGCTGATACCTCCAACGCCCGACACCTCGATCTTAGCTCTTATTAGAATACCAAAGTTCTTGACATTATACCTAACTCCTGATGTTAATATCCACACATTACAAATCACTTAAAACATTAAGAGTAAGCTCTCGGTCTTCCCCACTTCCGTTTCAGCCACTTAACTCCGTGTAGTAAGTTTTATAATCTTTTTTTATGGGTTCATATCAAACTATAATAAAATTTGAGATATTCAATTTATTTGACCAACTGTTTGATTCAAGGCTCAAGAAAAATTTACTGCACTTGTATAAGCTAGCTTAAGAGAATGAGCTAGCCAAAAAGTGTTCCAGAAACTTATGAGTTAAAAAAGTCAAAATAATCTATGGACTAGATTACAGGCTGCTGAATTTCACAATCCTAGCTCACCTGGATATGGTGTAATCATCTGTTAAGCATTCAAATAATATAAAGAGAAATTTTACATATGCGGCAGTGAAAAAATGGATAAAGTGAAGTACATGCCCAACTTTTCCAAAAAGCTGTAAGTCGGAAATCTGTTATATTATGAATGTTCCCACAATCTGGACCACTTGCCTGAAAGACTTTATTTGTACTGTTCTTGATTAGGCTAACAGTTGCTGTCACCCACGTAAGAATATAATAGTTCTCCCGTGATAGGCAATGATGGAAAGAGCAACTGTTGGAAGAAACTGCAAACTCTTACTTCAGTGACTAGACAGCTACCCGCATGCTAGAAAATTTTGCTACCTAAATAAGCGCTGAATAACAGTTACGAAGAATTGTTGCACCTGCAGTTAAAATGTAAATGGCAAGGCAAATGGTAATTGAAGGTAACTCAGACTTTCTGGAAGCTGTAGATCGACACTCCACCATTTCCTCCATTACTTTTGAGGTCAAATCTACTTGTGCGAGAATTCTGGAGAATGCACACCGCTTGCAAGAACTTAGTGAGCGAATGAATCGACTTCAGATAGCTTTATACATATTGAATAAAGCGCCACAGAGATAACAACCCACATTCACTTACTGGTGACAATTCCCAATCTCATCAAGGACCGAATGCAGGCACCTATACAGAACAAGATAAGTCTTGGAGTCACGAATTCTTCAAAAGGTTTAGATTTCGTTTTCCATTTCGAAGTCAGTGCTTTGTTTACATTCCTAAATCATTCTTTGCATAAATGCCTATTAGATCACCACGATTTCGTCCAAAAAGTTCGGAAACATTGAGGGAAAAAGAAAGAAAAAAATAGTCCCTAGATTGATGACAACGAGAAAATGGTGAATTACTGCCCAACACATTTTAAGGATATTGCACAAATTGTTCATTTTTACCTTCTCATTTTATTACAGATCATCCAGCATTCAGTAGCATTGTTCTAAGATATCCAGAATACGGCTTTTTTTAGGCAAATTAATATGGTTTTCTTTTTAGCAAAGTTCAATAATCGTTTCAAATCCTGAAGAAGACACTAACTCTTGCTGCAATTTTGAAGAAATAGAAGTGGAGACATATAGACCTGACATTTGTTAGAGCACTCATGAAAATGACCGTTAGCAAATGACCTTTCAAAAAAAAAAAAAAGAATTTCTTTCACACTTTCTTGGTAGATAAGACTGACATTCTTCATGAAGTGTTTTTGTAGTGGTCAATTATCTAGATGGAACAGCACGGGTTAGTGAAACTTCTGATCATGGAATAATAACTGACAGCAGCCTATGATAAAGCATCGAATAGGATTAGACTGTGATGCATCTCGAATTTAAGTATTCAAACAGCATTTGAGAGATATACATATTTCAGTATTATCCGGAAAAGAAGAAATCTGAAATTTTGCGTTTGGATACTCTTGCAGTTGCAGGAGGTTTCCATCTCCGGTATGTTATGGAGTATATGCGAATGCGCCTCCTTCGTGACTATCCAATTTTTTATAACTTTAACGGGGATTGATTAGAATTTGAGTCCATTTATGGTTTCCGATTTCCGGTAACATCATAGCAGTGCTTCTAATTATTTCGTTCCCTTCATTGTTGAAAAAATCTAAATTTACTTTTTGTGGCCGCTTGACATTCCGAAAATTCGAAATGTTCGCATAAACTGCTGGAAGGAGTTGGACAGAATTCTCAAATAAAAAATACGGATTGAAAGTAAAGGAAAGAAGGTTGCTGTTTGAGGGGCTTTCTCCTTTTTGTTAAACCATTCGCCAAGTGAATTGAGCATTTAGACTTTATAGTTGAATAGTCACCATATGGTAAAATACATTTTTCCGGATAATTTAAATACAAATATCGTAATTGGTTCAGTTCAATATATAAATCACTTTCCTGATCGTTTCATCAGGAACCTTAGTTTCTTCGAATTTTTATGTTTGGAAGTAAGCTTTCATATCTAAAGCGAGTTTTCGTGTTCTTGAAAAAAGTTAGGCGGAATTTCTTCAGCCTCTCTTACTCGTTGTTGGATGGATGTAAAGCTTTTTTCTTCATTTTTATAATGAATATTTTGTATTCGCACTTTTTCACATAAGTTGAGAATTTGAGATACAACAAAAAAGCAACCTTCCTGATAAAGATACCACAGAACAACGTGTCATTCATACATTTCTGCAAATTCTTCCAGATTTTTGTCATCTATGCATACATAGCTTCTTCCATGTCTTGACATTGCCCTTCTACAGATGAAATTGAAACTGGAATCTTACTTCTATTAAGTTGTTATCCTTCCGATAGGAAGCGAATAATTCCCGATTTATGAACTGCCCTTTAAATACAAATAATCTTCCTCTTCCTTTTCTCCCGCTGATGGAATCTGCAGGAAAAGTCTTTTAAATATTTCTTCAATCTTCAATATCTCCTACCTATCTGTTTCATTCAGATCAAAAGGAAATCTTTGATTTCATAATTAGGCATTCTCCGTTGTGGGATGAACGGAATGTGTTATTAAAGTCTAGGAGTAAAACGCAAGGCAAAAAGTCAAGAACAAAGCTCTACCGACAAGTTTGGTAGTTAAAAAGTGAAAAAGATGTTATTTTTACTGGAAGCTTTTTAGCAGCAAATTCTTTATAACCAATAATCTGTGCTGGTTTCATTTACGTAAAACTTCTTGACACTGCTTTCACCCCTCCACGCTTCAAGCTAAATTTCATTTTTGCCTTTAGACCATTGCCAGTAATACTAAAATACCGAAGCACGATAGAATAAAATTAGTTTCTCAAGTACTTTTGTAAGTTATATCGGCAAAAACATGATGAATCGATGTTATCTGAAGTGGAAATCATTAGATATATCATCAACAAAATTTTAGTATTAGGTTTCGAAATAGATGGAGAAATAAATTTGAGAAAGTAGCACAACAGTAGAAATGCTTACCAATTAACTAAAAATTGAGGACCTCCAACTCATATTTATTACTACTCTAAGCTAACAATCATATTTGCCTTTTCGTATTAATGAAATGTTCTATTTGAATTGTATGAGATAGTTTCAGTCGATATGCTGACCGATTTTGTCTTGGAGTTTAATTAATTATAACGAGATTAAGTCAGTTAATTGTGTCACCAGAAATAGGGGTATTTTCTGAGAATCTGAATAACTAATTAATGTAATGTAAGACATATTTATAGCATCTTTAAGCTATCATTTGACGGAATGTTTGTATTCCAGTGATACGCTATTCAATTGAAATTCAACTGAAATCTCCAAATAAAGCAAAAAATCGAATAATTTGCAATTCTCAAGCACTGATGAAAACAGCTTAAACCGAATTCTTGCCCTCTTCTTGTTAGCCTTAAAATATAAGTGAAATACCAAACAGGGTTGTATAGAGAGAAATATGCACTGTAATAGATTGAGTAAAACGAAAATTAAGAAGGCTGTTCGTAACATAATGTGAAGTTAAGAAATGCCATGCAATGTCTTTTACTTCCCACCCTTCAATGGAGGAAATCAATATTTTACTAATATCATTCATTGGTTAAATGAAAGTGAACGTCATAGTTTGATAATGAAACTTCTCGTTTAAATAGGTGAGAAGAATAATAAACTGGAATTAAAATTCCAGTTTTTTATCTACTTGACCTTTTAAAAGAGGAATTGAGATTAAAAGTCAAGTTTATTATTTTGTTTAATCTATATGTCCAGCGATCCTGAACTTATTTTTTCGTAGAGTGTCATGTACAGCAATTATTGAAAAAGCCTGCAAGCAACAGTTAATTGGTAAGATATGGCTTCATTTGCTGCTGTTGTTACTCGTAAAAGAGGAATTTAGTCGTAAAAATAAAATAATCTTATAGTTCCTAAAGAAATCTGTAAAAACCCAGTCGATAATTGAATCTAACTTCATTTTAGACTTAGAGAAGCTCAGGAATAGTGCAAAAACTCAAACCAGGGCACTCAACCAGTGTTGTTATAAAAACATACATTCCTTAAATCCAAGATTTCTTCATCAAATCTATTAATCCGAAGTGAATTGTGGAAAAAAAGAAGCTCTTAAAACTTGATATCTCAGCAATGAGTATTCAGTTGGAAAGGAACTGGATTGATGCAAGCATCATCTATAACACCTAGAAATTGAAATCATCTGCTCAATTCTATGTGAAATCGAATCAGCAGTGGATAAAATAGATAAGAAACACGGAGTTTCAGTATGGTCCACTGTTCTCCTCCCATTCTTTAAAGAGCAATGATGAGTTGGATAAATACTGCCCTCCTTCATACACGCACATGAAGACGAAATGAATGGAATGTGACAACCTTAATTGTTTTCCCATTCTGCAAACAATCAACTGACCTTTGGCCTTCTCGGCAACTGCAAATATGTTTCTCAAATCTCAAAACAAATAAAGAAATGGACCACTGGTCATGCTAAAAATCTCTAAGCTATTTCTTGATCATTAACTGCAACTTGAATTTTCTTAAGATCTCGATAATTTCTTATTTGTGGGTTAAAATATTCAAAAAAAAGGAACTACGTGAAGAGTGGGAAATCTACTACATATGTTACTTTTTAATGCCTAAATAGCTTCTCATCTACCAAGACGCCTTATCATACCGTAGGATATGTGAAAGGAAAAAGTAAAGAAAGCATCCTCTGTGCATGGCATGCATAAAAGTTGTAAAGGTCCAAATGTAATCAATACATTAGAATGCCTTTGCAAATACGGCATAGTGAAATTCACAGAGTTATTGCTCCATAGGTAAATCCTTAAGCTGAAAGAGTTCGAAGTGACTTCCACTATCACTGTTTTGTTGACAAGATGTGCAACGAAAGGACAGACAGCACATAGAAACCTCCCCTAACTATTCGTAACCTTTAATGAAACAACCAGATCTTCATGAAATCGATAAAACAAAACTTTACTTCAACTTTGTACTTGAACTTTCGCAATGAAACACTAGTGTTAGAAATTGAAAGCTGTAAAGAACACTAAAAGATTAGCAAAATTATATACTGAAAGCAAAAATAAATAATCATTCCAAATGCTTGTTACGAAATAATGGGAGCTACCAAACGAGCAGTAAACCTTCGTAAAAGCGTTCTAGACGATTCAGGACGAAAAAGTAAAATTAAAACTATGAAAACGTCATTTCCAAGTTGGCTGGAAAGAACGGGGAAACAATCTTGGGAATTTCTTTCTAATTCAAGAAACCATTCAACAATAACAACAAAACATTCATTCAAACGACTATTCAGTCATCTTCCCGGAATCAGTTAATGTCTTTTTTTAATCATGATTTCTCCCTTTCTCTTTTTGTTTTCGAAAATATAGCGTCATCGAATCTCCCAAACTCCTATTATAAACTTTGGCCTGACAAAATAAATATAGATAGAAATATTCTTGATGACAGTTAATACCTCATGAAATACTTCATAATGAAAGCTTCCAACGTTAATTCCACCAATACATTTTTCAAATTTCATCATCGCACTGTTTTAACAATATAACCATAACCGAGCTTCTTCGATTTCTACATCCAGGAGTATACCATAATCAGGCTAATAGCGTCAGTAAGTCCAATGTTGGATAATGATGGATTTTGACAAGACCTTTCCGCTCGTACCTTTGTCCTTAAAGCCCAATTAAATATGCATTCTAAAAAATACTGGGAACTTTTGAAATTCTATTAAGTCGATTATGAATTTGATTCCAAATAAATTCTTCCTTTACCTTTTAATCATATACACTACGAATAACTCCTATTAAAGAGATGAAGCTTATGAAACAGCAATAGTATCTTAGAATACTTGATATCGCGTGCACGCGAGTTTATGCGCCCACAAATCATTCAAATATACAGGATTGCCTTTCAATTTTCTCATTGAGGTATTATGCTTAAAAATCATACTAGTTCGATGGTCTTGAATCACCTAACATATGATAATAGTTTTTTGACTTACTTGGAGCTTTCGAGAACAACACTGCAACGTGATATCCAATGAGAAGTTCGTGAAGAAGTCTTACAAATATCTGACGCAATGTATTATTTGATTAGTTGTTATTTCTCATGGCAATAAGGGAATGACATAGGTAATCTCACATATCAAGGACACTTTGAAGTTCCAAAATGAAATTCGTAAATATTGAAGTAGAACTTGTTTGATTTAATGGAAATGAATTAGCTACTTACTGGAAGAAGCATAAATTAACATCAGTGGTAAATTTCAGAATATATTCAGTAAAATCCTATCATTGTATATGTTAATGCTAACTATGAGAAACAATAGATTTAGAATTTACACGCACAGCTAGCTTAAAGGTGAAGATTTTGGAATTGAACAAAGTCATATCTAAAGATAAGAAATGAGAAAAAAGTTCGAACAACAAGAAAAAATATTAGGAACACTTTAAAAATTTGGGAGTGAGTCTTACTCTCTCTTTCACTAAAACCTATTCACCAGCAGATTGAAACGGCAGAATTAAAGGTTTGAACTAAAGTTTACTTCAGAAATCTCCAGTATACGGCTACGCCTGACATGAAATCTTTCAGTCAGGAAATAAACATTAGGCTAATTTATATGACAAATTTAGTGAGAGATATATCGTCGCAGTATACAAAAAAAAAAAAGAAAAAAACTACGGTATATGTAACATTCGCAATATGGAGATGGAGAAGCCTGCAAACTTATTTTCTGTACCAATTCTAAATTTCTTCATTTTTGTCAACAGACAAATGTATAAGCAATACATAAGCATTACAAAATACACTGAATAGTTCGAATTAATAATCATAATATTTGTGAGAATTATAATTCGTCGATAATGGAGTTTTTAGAAACATTGTGTCAACTACCAGGGATATTTGACAATCGCCAGTTATTGCTGAAGTCAACTTTGTCCCAGACGATGCTCGTTTTGAATTTCCATTTCGCGAGATAATCCTGATGATGTTGAAGCCTTCGGTGATATGATTTTCTGCAATGTGAAGTGAACGATAAAATAATGGATGACAAGTTAGCAAACCTTATTTTATAAAGTAAGAAAAAGGATACACCTCACTTACAGATAAAATTCTCGAGCTACATTCGTCCATCTTGTATTCTAATTCAATTCCTGGAATAGTACACAGAGGAGGTGTGATGAACTCCTCCAGACCTTCACAACTCTTTTTTTCACTGTCATTATCGTCATTTACTGCTTTTCGCTCTTTGTTTTCTGAAATACAAGGAAACAAATGATGAGAATAAAAAAGCAATTTGGAAACTGCTTAGGTTTCTGGTTTCTGATAGACAGAAAAAATTTTGGGATTGTTTTCTGAAGTCACTTTTAAAGCTGTAAGCAATTCGTAAAGCTTCACCGTTATCATTTATTTCTAGCAAATCTTTCCTTAACATCTCAATGTTATGCCCAACATTTGGAAAAATGTGATTCACAAATATTTGGAAAATCAAAGCTTTTGCTTTTTGCTTGTATTTTTGTCACCAACTCCAATAGCTGACCGAAAAGGTCAATGTTGCTATATTTGGGTCTTCTGGATCGTTGCAACGACTTCCATTTTGGTTGAACAGATTGTAGCGAAATCTTTTCAGAAAACATCCAGTCTTCACTGGAACAAAAAGATTCCTCCGATTCCTCGCCTATGATTTTTGATATTGAGTGCATTGGTATTTATTGTAAAAGTATTTTATTTGTAGTTTTCAAATGTTTCCTGGATGTAGAAACGTGGTTTTGCAAATTCTGAAGAATAAATTTAAAAGCTATGATATGACCATCAGAATATAAAGTGGTAGAATATAAGATGTCTTTAACAGGACAAAAATCTTTACTTGATGCATTGTCAAAGCAAAGCTCGTGCCGATTAATTATTCTAGTCTTTTCCTGGCTCGGTTCATTGGTGCTTGCTTCGTTATTTTGGAAATCACTGGAAAAGTATGTGGTGAGGGAAGAAAATTGACTCAGATAGAATGAATAGGATGCACATCTGTAAGCTTCAACATTTCAACTATTTCTTTTACCATTGAAAATAGTAATTAAGTATCGGATTTAGAACAGTTGTAAGCGCAATTTGCATTTCCATCTACATTTCAGCATAATAAATATCGTAAGTGACAAATTTCAAGGTCAATCAGAGTTCCGGTGACAATGCTATAACATATAGGATGACTTGTAGAGTGGTTATCTGTGTGTGTGTGTGTGACCATGTCATATTTGTGGTCTCGAACCACAATTTCTTAATAAAGAGTTATCGAACTTAGTTATCGAAAGATACTAAGTTATCGAAAGAGTTATCGAAATAAAGAGTTATCGAACTTCTTGTTCGGGGAAATGAGAACAACATAATTCGAATACTTCTGTAGTGTCAGTTAAGCAACTTGTTCTACCAGTTTATCCTTTCTTCGAATCTTCAGCGACTGGTTGAAGATTAAGTTTTCAAATTGTGAGATGAAATTGGAAACGAAATGTTAATATATCTGCTATAAAAAACTGTTTCGCAAATCATCAGGCATAGAAATTTACCTAATTTAAATAATTAATTGTACAATAACAAATAGAACGTTATCTGATTTATCCCTAATGACTTTTTACAATGAAAACCAAAAACACTTGCCAGAAATAATCGCTGTGTTGAGATGGAAAGGATGACTGACAAATGCCTGAATTTTGCTGTCGCTCAGTATCCTAAAAAATGAAGTCTAATGATGATTCTTTGATGATGGCCCGTAACTCGAATTATTCATAGGTAAAGGCATCATCCTAAGCCATAATTTTTTGGGATTCAACCGTTCAAATTCAATGCACGATCTCGAGTGCGTGTATCATTTTATTCCCGGATATCAGTCACTTAAAATATCAAGTATGTGTAATACATTAATGAAATTCATAGCATCAAATTTTAAATCAAATAGAAATCGCTGTGCCTAATAAACAAAGTATTTCATTGAATATTTTATTTCGATATATTTCCTTATCTTTAATTCTGACATTAACTTCACTCAGTGCGTAAGAGGAATGGAGATTGTATGTGCAATTACATCATGAAGAGTAAAATTACTATCATAAAATTTTAAAAACCACGACAATGACCAGCAAAGGCAGATCGTATACTGCAATTTGTTCAAATCACTTCAAAATACAAACTTCTTTTCCATCGCTTTCGTCGCTTTCATCCGAATTATTTATCGTAAGTTCAGCGAGCACTTGTCGAGTAACCTCTTGTCTTATTTCTTGCATAACATTTTGTGAAACTTGCCAACATGCTGCATTGTCTTCGTTCAGCGGAATGTTTTCCTATGATAACTCGAATATTTCTTTCTTTTTATTTAAAAGAAAACATCATTTTATGCTATGATCTCTCACTTCACTCAATCACTGACTAAAGAATTCAACATCTTGCATAACCACTCAATACTAAACTTACCCATACAAACGGAACACATTTCCGATAGATGATCCAAACATAAAAATGAAAATCTCCGAGATAAATTACAGAAAGCATTTTGAATCCTATCAAATTTTGGAATTCAAATCACTACTTTTTACCTTATTCCAATTCCTCTGATCGTCGTCCAGGGCCATTTTCTGGATTAATCCCCTCGGTTAACTGCAAAATTGAAAGTCATATTTTAATGCAATACGAAATAAACGATTTTCGACTGAAACATACCACCGTAAGAACAAGACAAGATGACCCTCTAAACAAATAAATAAGGGGGACTAGGAAAATTCATGGTGTTCTAAGGAGTATCTAACAAAGCAAAATTGCTTATTATCATGATTACCGTAATTATTAAACAATAGTAATAATGACAATAATAACGACAATTATAATAATAATAAATTATCAAATTATTCCTATCGTTATGACTGGAATTCTGGAACTTCAAAGTCGATTCCTAGCCCACGAGCCCAATTGTACTATTTTGTTCTGTTGTTCTGAAGACTCAAAAAGCTCGGCAAACCAAACCAAAGAACCCATTCTCACGGTCACTCAACAGTATGACAAAAAATATGAAAAATGTTTGGCGCCTTTTCCAAGAGAGAAGCAAGATCTGTCACCCTTCTCTCCACGAACATGCTTTGTCAAACCCTTTCTGATCACGTCTTGTCATCTTTCTCCTTCTATCGTTCCCCCTTCCCCCTCCCCCCCACCTTCCCACTCTTTCCTGTCACAGCTTACAACGTTCCTTTCCCGACTGTAATCATTTACTCGCTTCACTAACCGCAATAGCTTAAATTTCATTGACTTTAAAAGATGAGCTCTCTGTAAATGATTCCCAACATTTCTAATGATGTCAGAGGTTACAGTTTTATTTCTCATCATACCTTTCACTTCCAGTTTCTTTCTCCTTTTCAAGCTGATAAAACTCAAACTGAAAGAAGCCAAGAAATAGTTGGCTTTTTTAGGTAAAAATATTGGCTGAGGAAACTAATCATTCACCAATTAATTTCGGAACAAAAAAGAATTAAACGAGGGGAAGGTCTCAATAGGATAACTGAAGTAAACTCTAAAGAACTTTCTGGCTCGCACTTTATAGCTCATGCTCCGTGTAATTTACCTACTTATCAATCTTCTGCTTACTTTGTCAAATGCTATTAAGAATAAGACATCAAGCAATAGTAGTGAGATTCGATTAGAGAAAGGATTAACAATGAATTCATCAATATTGCTGCGAAGATGAATGTTGTTGTTCATCTCTGTTACAACAGCAGATGGTACTTGCTTGAATTATTTCATCGTCGTGGAATGTACATAACAGATGGCGAAGAAATGTAAGTTAAGGATAGGTTGGCAGATATGTTCCTCTGCGGGTTGTACAAGATGAAGCATACAAATCCAATCGTTTTGGTCTCTGACACTTTAAGAGACTTTTGTCTTGAGGAAGTATCATTAAAGAAGTTCGTCACATAATATCCAATTAATCAGATTTACATGATCACCATCGATGACTAGTGTCAACAGAAATGTTATAGCAGTGAACGGCATGAAATTAATTATATGTCACCAATAACATATCAGACAAACTCTCTTTCATATATGATATTAGGCATTGGTTTATTTTTGTCATAAGGGAAGAGAATTTCAATTTCTATTTGATATATATGAGGAACAAACAACTTTTTTGGTAAGCAATACCATAGCATAAATTTACATAGTAAAAGCTGTTGAGATGAATTAGTCAGTGGTACGAGAAACCATTAATGAATAAGATTTTTCATTATTAAACTGAGATTGCAAGGATGATTTGGTTTAGTTGAAATGATCAAAATAGTATTTTAATATATTATGCTAATTGCAGACATTAACCTAATTTGTATTTGTGTAGAAAAAAGGATAAGGTGAGGAGATAAAGAATATGATCCTGCTATAAGTGATAATCAAATAAAATGAAGGGAGTAATGAATCAAAGTTCCTTTCCGTCACAACAGTTATGAATAGCATAAAACCAGAGTTAAAAGACTTCTGCTCTCAAAACATACATGTATATCGGATCTCTCGTTTTCAAATCGATGGATGGCGCTGAATGATGGGCATATGACCCCTTCCCTGAGGATGGATATGATTTCGTATATATTCACCCCCCTCTTCTCTTTTTTTTTCTCGCAAAACTAATGTCATTGATAGCGATAACAGCAAAACTATATTGTCAACTTCAAAATCCTAAACCCGAACTGACAGCCCTTTCCTGAAACAATGAATTACCGTCCTCATGCCACATCTATATTGATGACAATAAAACGGGTTGTAAAACCCTCATCAAATTAACTTCGAAAATTTGAAGCACAAATGAATTTGTCAATTGTTAGGTTTTACAATTGAAAAGAAGGAAAGGAAAGCTATTGCAAATAAAAAATTATTTTCACAAGACCTTATTAAATATGAAAACTAGGGGAAGTAAACAATATCTAAGGTGTCACAGTAACCAATGATCAGTAGAAAGGAAGTCTAGGTGGACGAAGAACGGCTGTATAACGTGGTACCTAATAATAGACATTTCTGGAGGGAAAACAGAGAAGACAAAGAGGCAAACATTGTAGAAGTGAAGCTGATCCAGTGAGAGTAACACCGTATTGACCGATGATATCAATATCATTATATTCCGTGCTACATATCGCGCGACCTTACTGATCCTTTCCGTTTTCATAATTCCTCACCCTCATTTTGTCATTTGAAGCACTCTCTATTCCCAACTATCAGGTAACACACACTGTCAATCTTGAGTCCTCACAATGATGAGAAGTAATGCACGTCATTAATTTCACCCAGTAGGAATAACTTTGACTGTACTAGATTCATTTGCTTCCTAAAACTAGGATGACTATGAATCTTCAAAAACCGAAATCATTCTGAAATTTATTCGCTTTGAAATCGTGGTATGCCATCAACTGGAATTATCGGAAACGATGAGTGTTCAGTACGAGCAGAACTTTTATTCCCATAGCAATACATTTGAAATGCTATGTATAAACAAGTATCATCACATTCAGGAAGGCTCCACCCAGAAAAGGCTCATATATAACAAAGTAAGGATGCAATTGCCGAATTCTGGAATAAAAACAGTCTATAAACTTCTTAAACAATAACTTTAAATTATATTGCTGGGATTACTTTATCGTATATTTAGGAGGATCCATCACTTATACTGGAAATTCCACAGCGCTGAAAAAACAAATAAATATTCAATGCATATAACAAAGCTTGTTAACTATTCAAAAAATAATTCCTCAGGTTAAGGTCATCTTCGCCATGACCCAGGAGAATTTTAGTGAATTAATAATTATAGAAAATCTAACAAACGGAACGTCCTTACAAAAATTCGAACCAATTTCATAATGATGGAGCTGAGATATTACGATTCTCATACCGAGAATTGCATCAAGAGCCAAATCAAGCCAGTCAATATAAGGACACCATGAAGAAACTAACTTGTACCACCAAAGACTGGTTCTTAAAATTTACAATGAGTAGTATACCTGTAATGCAGCACCAAAGGCAACACCGGCAACGAGGAATAAAACTCGAATAAGCCAACTATGAAGTGAATTGGGCAATGGACGTCTTCGTTCTATTAGCAGTTTCAGGTATTTGAATTTTTTACTGGTAAATGGTGGATATCGCATGCTAAAATTAACGGTACACTGCACTTTATAATGTCTGTAATTAAGAGATTGTTAACACTCACTACAACAAACACTATCAGCAAAATAAGCAGCAGCAATTATAGCACTAATGAACTGAGCTAAGGTTTTTTAATTCTAAAATTCCTATAGATCTGTAAGAAAAGACCTATCACATACAAAAAACTTTGCATAACACAAATAACTCTCAAAATACTTGCATACAAAAACTTACGCAAACAACGCATCAGCAAAGAAACCC